CTTATTATTGGCCAGGCATGGTGGCTCACACCTGTAATCTCAGCACTTTGGGAGGCCGAGGTGGGAGGACTGCTTGAGGCCAGGAGTTTGAGACCAGCCTGAGCAACAAAGTGAGACCCCATTTCTACAAAAAAATGTATTTATTTATTTTAGTAGAGACGGAGTTTCACCATGTTGGTTAGGATGATCTCGATCTCCTGACCTCATGATTCCACCCACCTCAGCCTCCCAAAGTGCTGGGAATACAGGTCTGAGACACCGTACCTGGCCTACAAAAAATTTTAAAATTAGGGCCAGGCATGGGGTTCATGTCTGTAGTCCCAGTACTTTGGGAGGCTACAGTGGGCCAGGAAAAGACCAGCCTGGGCAACACGGCATAACCCTCTCTCTACAAAAAATACAAAAATGAGTCAAGCATGGCGGCAGATATCTGTAATCCTGGCTACTTAGGAGGCCGAGGCACAAGAATGGCTTGAACTTGGGAAGCAGAGGATGCAGCTGGCTGAGGCCGTGCCACTGTACCCCGGCCTGGGCAAGAGGGAGACTTTCTCCAAACCCTCCAGACTCACCAGCTGCAGCCGTCTCGACTCTGCTCTGCAGCCCTGTCCTGTACAGCCCGTGGGGGCAGCTCAAATGTCTTTAACCTTTGAAGAAGTTGCTGGGGGAAGCTATTTTTAATGCTGCCCTGAGGAGCCCTCCAGCATATAACCAGATTGTTCTATCAGAGACTTCTTTCTAGATCATCCCAGGAAGAAGATTGAACTGCAGTTCTTAATCCCGAAATTGGCAAACTTTGTTACTGCAACTCTTGCACAGCCGATTCTTCCCATTTGTTTCCTGGGAAAAATCGGGATACTCAGCCAGGCGCGGTGGCTCTCACCTGTAATCCCAGCACTTTGGGAGGCTACCTGAGGTCAGGAGTTCGAGACTAGCCTGGAAACATGGAGAAACCCTGTCTCTACTAAAAATACAAAAATTGGCCAGGTGTGGTGGGGGGGCGCCTGTAATCCCAGCTACTCAGGAGGCTGAGTCAGGACAGTCACTTGAATCTGAGAGGCGGACGTTGCAGTGAGCCCAGATCATGCCACTGCACTCCAGCATGGGCCACAAGAGCAAAAACTCCGTCTCGGGAAAAAAAAAAAAAAAAAAAATCTGGATACTCATGTCCTTCTGATCTGGATCTGAGGTCCTGGGCCAGTGGTTCAGGGTCCCCTCTTTCAGCCTCCAGCCATGATTTAGGCCCCAATACATCCCAGTACACGGTGTCACTTCCATAGATGGGAGGACCCTGATGCTGATACAATGGAGATGGAACAGAAAGGGCGCTTGAGCTGGGACTCCCTGATTGTCCACCAACTTCAGGGCCCAGGGCGGGGTACTGTACACAGGGCCACCAGCTTGGGGCCCACTGCTTCCCTGGTTGCTTCCAGCCATCTTGGCCTGAAACCAGGGCAATGGGAACCTGGGAGAGGACTTACCTAGGAAATGCCTAGCCCATGAAAAGGTGGGATTTTTATTCCAGGGGAAAAATTAAGTTAGGGGAGAAACCCAGGTCATCTGTTTTCCTCGGAGGGTTGATGAGAGCCTGAGGCTCGGAGGTGGGCCACCTCTCCACCCTCCTTCGCTTTTCTCCCAGTTCTTCCAGAACCACTCCTCTCCCCACACTGTGGTTCTCCATGGGAAGTGGCCCACTTAGCTTCTAGAGGTACCAGGTGGAAGGCAGCTCTCTGGGGGCAGAGGAAGGAGGCTGGTGGTCTTGGGACCAATCCAGTTACCAACCCTGTTTCCACAGGATGAGGAGAGGGGAGCTCTTTGACTACCTCACTGAGAAGGTCACCCTGAGTGAGAAGGAAACCAGGTGAGGGTCCCTTTGCCCTTCTCTCTGCTCCCTCCCACTTGGCCTGGGGCCACGGGCCCTGGGATGCCAGGGGTGTCAGGGCGCATATGCTGCTCCCTTGCAGTGTGGCTGAAATGTGAGCTGTGTCTCCCTGCCTGTCGCCTGACCCTGCACAGGGGAAGTGACAAGTGTGTGCCCCACCCTAGAAAGATCATGCGAGCTCTGCTGGAGGTGATCCGCACCTTGCACAAACTCAACATTGTGCACCGGGACCTGAAGCCTGAGAACATCCTCTTGGATGACGACATGAACATCAAGCTCACAGACTTTGGCTTTTCCTGCCAGCTGGAGCCTGGAGAGAGGCTCCGAGGTCCGGTAACATGACCTTGGCCCACGTCTGAGCCTCAGGCTCTCACCAACCCTCCGAGGAATACAGATGACCTGGGTTTCTCCCCTAACTTAATTGTTCCCCAGAATAAAAACCCCACCATTTCATGGGCTAGGCATTTCTTCAGGTAAGTCCTTTCCCAGGCTCCCAGTGCCCTAGTTCCAGACCAGGATGGCTGGAAGTAACCAGGGAAGCAGTGGTGGACCCTGAGCTGGTAGCCCTGTGAACAGCACCCCGCCCTGCCCTGGGCCCTGAAGCTGGTGAACACTGGGGGAGTCCCAGCCCAAGTGTCATTTCTGTTCCATCTCCGTTGTCACTTTGGACTTCCTCTTTTATTTCTGAGACGTGGGGCGATCTTGGCTCACTGCAACCTCTGCCTCCCGGGTTCAAGCTTCCTGAGTAGCTGAAACTACAGGCATGTGCCACCAGGCCCTGCTAATTTTTATATTTTTAGTAGAGACGGGGGTATTGCCATGTTGGCCAGGCTGGTTTAGAACTCCTGGCCTCAGGTCACCCACCTGCCTCGGCCTTCCAAAGTGCTAGGATTACAGACATGAGTCACTGCACCCAGCCTGGACTTCCTATTCTGAGCGCCCTGCTGACCTGTCTTGATGGTGACTGTTCCTGCAGAGGTCTGTGGGACCCCCAGTTACCTGGCCCCTGAGATCATCGAGTGTTCCATGAACGACGACCATCCAGGCTACGGGAAGGAGGTGGACATGTGAGTGTGCTGGGGGAGGAGCACCTGGCTGGACTGGGCTGGTGCCCCTGGCGCTGGGTAAGTGGCCCTGGGCCCTCACACCTCCAGGTGGAGCACGGGAGTTATCATGTACACACTGCTGGCCGGCTCCCCGCCCTTCTGGCACCGGAAGCAGATGCTGATGCTGAGGATGATCATGAGTGGCAACTATCAGTTTGGCTCACCCGAGTGGGATGATTACTCAGACACCGTGAAGGACCTGGTGAGAGGCCAGGCCTACTGGCCCGGGGCTCAGGGCCACAGTGCCAGGCACGCCTGTCGGAGGAGGCCCTTATCTCCTGACATGCTGAGGGGACCTGCCTTGACATTCTCGGTTCCCGTCTCATCCCCTCCCAGGTCTCCCGCTTCCTGGTGGTGCAACCCCAGAGCCGCTGCACAGCAGAAGAGGCCTTGGCACACCCCTTCTTCCAGCAGTACGTGGTGGAAGAAGTGCGGCACTTCAGCCCCCGGGGGAAGTTCAAGGTACGAAGCATCCCGCCCCAGACCTTGTGGCAGCTGCTGCCAGCACCCCAAGTCTAAATCTGTAAGCTCTCTCCTCTCCCAGGTGTCCTTACACCCCAAGGGTTTCCAGAGCACCTGCCCCTCCCCTTCTAGCCCCCTGTGATGGCTCCAGCTCCACTGCCAGCTTCAGAGATGATAGGTGTCAGCCCAGTCCATCCCTGCAGATGCCAGTGAGGAGGAAGTGGGGGACACTAGGAGGGGCCCCAAGAAGCCACTCAAGGCTTCATGGCAAATGAGCCCAGGGCATCCCTGTGCTGGACGGCCAGGGGCTGGCTGGCGGGGGCTGCAGCCCAGCTTCTCCGCTTGGGGGGCAGGTGATCGCTGTGACCGTGCTGGCTGCAGTGCGGATCTACTACCAGTACCGCCGAGTGAAGCCCGTGACCCGGGAGATCGTCATTCGAGACCCCTACGCCCTCCGGCCTCTGCGCCGGCTCATTGACGCCTACGCCTTCCGAATCTACGGCCACTGGGTGAAGAAGGGGCAGCAGCAGAACCGAGCTGCCCTCTTTGAGAACACACCTAAGGCAGTGCTCCTCTCCCTGGCTGAGGAGGACTACTGAGGGGCTGGCCAGTCAGGGAGGCTAGAGGGCAGGCGGGGAGGGGAAGCCAGGGAAATAAAAGTCAAAGCGGTGAGACGCACGCAGGCCTCTGCAGAAGGAGCACTTGGCCCTCACCAGAAACCCCTGGAGTTGAGGCCATGATCCCCTCTCAAAGGCTGTGCATGAGGGATGCAGGTGTTCCCACCACACAGCAATACTTGCAGGCTGGCCAGGCCCCTGGTGGGCAGAGATGACATGTGGCCTGAGAACCAGGAGCCCCCTGCTCCTCCACTTCCCAGATGAGCCACCATCTCAGTCTCTCTTTCGGGGAGGCCCAGAGTTACTGATACTTGGGCCCTCTTTCCTTAGGGTCCTAGGAGAAATGAGGTTGTATTGACCCCATGACACCTAGTGACAGTGCGGGAGCAGGCTACTCTCCAGGAGCATGTTTTTAGAGGCATATGGAGAAGGGGATCCAGGCGTGGTGGCTCACACCTGTACTACCAGCACTTTGGGAAGTCAAGGTGGGAGGACTGCTTGAGGCCAGGAGTTCAAGACCAGCCTGGGCAACACAGTGAGATCCCATTACTATAAAAATTCAAAAAATTAGCCAGGCATGGTGGTGTACAGTTGTAGTCCCAGCTACTAGGGAAGCTGAGGTGGGAGAACTGCTTGAGCCCAGGAGTTCAAGGCTGCAGTGAGCCGTGATCACCACTGTCCTCTGGTGTGGGCAACAAAGCAAGACCCTGTCTCAGAAAAATAAAAATAAAAAACAATAGAATGGGAAGCTTCTGCTATTTGTATTCCTGGAGTATTATTTGCTTTGTGATTCCCACAATGCACCACCTCACCTGGTACATCATTTGGTTCTCCCAGGCCCTTTTAGGACTGAACTGTGCTTTAAATAGCCACCAGCCTGCCTGTTACACACTGGAAACTAGTTTCCTCCAGACAGACACGAAACAACAGATGAGGCCATGAAAAAAGCATTCTCCTTCCACAACAATTGGCCAGGAAAACAAACAGAACCACGAAAATCCTGCCTTGAGGAAACAATGTCAGCTTCATAATCATCTAGGGAGAAAGTAGGACAGAACGGATTTTAAAACGTTTAACAAATGGCCTTCAGAGCCTTCTGTTCAATTGTTTGTGTGTTTGCCCCTGTGTCGATAATACTTGGCTTCAAAGAGAAACACGGAGCTCCCGGCCACCACCAACACACCCTCCTCCAAGACACAGCAGGCTGAGTCCTCTCCTGCCCTGGTGAGAGATGCCTGCCACAGAGGGATGGGAGGCAGGAAAGGGGAAGTTTCTTCCTGAGGCTGAAGCTCCTGAGCTTGGACCTAGGCTGTGTTTGCAACATGGCCAGGGAATGACAATGACCCTAAAGGGCTTTTCTCCTTGTCACCACCCGGCTGCTCACAGCTCCCCCGGCGGCCGGCCTGTGTCTGCTGCACAGCGGAAGCCCAGGTTGTCTGAGGCTGAATCTGGAGTATTGCCCATCCTGCCAGCAGAGAAGGAGAGAGAGGAGGGACATGTTCTGAGAAAGAGACCTGGGGGCTTACCCATCTTGCCTGCCTCACCCACAGGGCCGGCCGTGGTCGGGGGGCCTGAGGGCTGGGGAGGGCATGGTCTGGAAAGAAGCCTATTTTGAGGGCAGGTCCTGAGCCCGGACCAGTCCTGGGAGAAAGGGGACAGGCAGGGGCTTTGCGACAAAAGAAGGGACCTTGCAGGAGTGAGGGAAGGGATGGTGGCCCAGAGAGAAAGCACTGGAGGCCAGAAAAGACAGTGACTAACTTCTACTGTTAGCAGCTGAGAACAATTCAGTAGAGAAAACCTGTCCTCAAGCAATGAGAATATCGTGGCCGGGTACAGCGGCTTATGCCTGCAATCCCAGCACTCTGGGAGGCCAACACGGGCTGACTGCTTGAGTCCAGGAGTTACAGACAAACCTAGGCAACATGGCAACACCTATCTCTACAGAAAAAGCCCATCTCTACAAAAGTTAGCTGGGCATAATGGTGCTGCCTGTAGTCCCAGATACTTGAGGACCTGAGGTGGGAGGAACGCCAAAGCCTGGCAACTTGAGGCTGCAGTGAGCCCAGACTGAACCACCGCACTCCAGCATGGGCAACAGAGCGAGACTTCGTCTCAAAAACAAAAACTGACTTTTTGTGTGCCCACCAGTTTGAAGAGTCAGTAACTCCAGGACTATGAGCAATGACCTACTGATGTGGTCTTTCCACTCCCCTTCTTTTGCCCACCTAGCTGTGAGGACAAGAGGAGAAACCCCATAATTAAGATGCCACACACAGTCCCCTTGGGCACTGAGAGCTGGCAGAAAAGTCACAAGGTGTCCTTGGCCCCTTTGCTTTTCATGGCAAGTGCTGCTGGCCTTCTTTTCTGTACCCACAACAGGGCGTGGTCTCAGGGAGGTGCTGGGACCGCCTCATTACACACAGCCGGTTGTGGTGTGAAGGTGGGGGCATTCCAGACCGGGATGCAGACTAAGCCGCACGTTCCCTGGGACCAAGCCCCTTACCTGGTGGTGACCCGGGCCCGGTGATTGGCAGAGCCATCGGCTGTGTCGATCCAGGATGCCCCCCGAAGGACGCGCATGTCCTGCTCAGCGGCCTGGTATGGAGATGCTGTCCACTCCCACACGTTGCCCAGGAGGTCATAGAGCCCTGCAGCCCCACCAGTGGGTCAGGCCAGGCTGGGACCCATGGACCACCCCATCTACCCTCTGAGGTCCTGGGGGCCAACTAGGGGAAGCGAGGTGCTTCACTCTGCCCCCTCTCTCAGACATGATGGTCTCAGTAGCCAGTCTGAGAGCACAGCTGCGAGCCCAGGAGAGCTCTTACCGTAGTTGTTCTGGGCAGGGAAAGCATTCACGGGGGAGACTCCATGGAAGCCATCCTCAGCTTTGTCCCCTTTGGGGAATTTTCCCTGAAGGAAGAAAGGAAGGGTAAAGGATTTACCTCCTGCCTATCTAGAGGAAAACCATTTGAGGAAAGGGAGGGGCAAAGGGCAGTGACCTGAAGTTTCCATACGGAGCCCCCAGTCCCGTCACCTCACACCTCCATGGCAAGCTCCCTGCTGGATTAGGAAGAGTGCTTATGCTGCACCCACAGGCCTCCAGGTCAAGCCCAGCCTGCACCTGTCCTCTCCACTCTCAGCAACTTCCTGCCCTCTGCCTAGAACCCCACGTGCCACAGCCTCCGGAAGACAGGTTTCTCCCAGCCTCCTCCACACTCGCCCCCTCGACCCTGCCTGAGCACTGCAGCCTACTCCTGCCAGCCTTCCCAAGACACTGCTTTTTCACTTGCTTATTTTATTTGTACTTGTTTATTTATTTATTTATTTATTTTTGAGGTAAGGTCTCATTATCATTCTGTCGCTCAGGCTGGAGTGCAGTGGAAGTGTGATCATAGCTCACTGCAACCTCTGCCTCCTGGGTACAAGTGATTCTCCTGACCAAGTCCCAAGCAGCTGGGATTACAGATGCATGTTACCACGCCCAACTAATTTTTTATTATTTATTTATTTACTTACTTATTTTTTTGAGATAGAGTTTTGCTCTTGTTGCCCAGGCGGGAGTGCAGTGGAGTGATCTCGGCTCACCGCAACCTTTGTCTTCTGGGTTCAAACGATTCTCCTGCCTCCGCCTCCCGAGTAGCTAGGACTGCAGGCCTGTACCACCATGCCCAGCAGATTTTGTATTTTTAGTAGAGATGGGGTTTCTCCATGTTGGTCAGGCTGGTCTTAAACTTCTGACTGCAGGTGATCCACCTGCCTTGGCCTTCTAAAGTGCTAGGATTACAGGTGTGAGCCACCACACCTGGCCACCATAAGTACTTTCTATTAAAGATTTGTAGGGCCGTGTACGGTGGCTCATGCCCATAATCCTAGCAGTTTGGGAGGCTGAGGCAGGCGGATCACCTCAGGAGTTTAAGACCAGCCTGGTCAACATGGCCAACCCCCATCTCTACTAAAAATAGAAAAAAAAAAATAGCTGGCTGTGGTGGGAGGCGCCTGTAATCCCAACTACTCAGGAGACTGAGGCAGGAGAATGGCTTAAACCATGGAGGTGGAGGTTGCAGTGAGCCAAGATCACACCACTGCACTCCAGCCTGGGTGACAAAGAGACTCTGTCTCAAAAAAAGAAAGAAAGAAAGAAAAAGAAATTAAGTAGTTATACCCCGTTGCCTTTTGCTTTATCAGCTGTGAGTCATCAGCTCCATCAGAACCCAAGCCCTCTGCATGCCGAGGCCGAACGACGCAGCGCCTGGCCTGCAGCAGGTCTCAGCGGTGCTTGGTGAAAGAGGAACGTAGGTCTTACCTGCCACAGGTTGGTGCGGTTTGGCTGGAACCGATTCCCCCATGGGTAAACCTGACCTGCCAGGAGAGCAAGGAGGCAGCAGAGGAGAGGGAAGTGAAGAATTAGGGAAGAAAAAAAAAAACAGTGAGACAACCAAAAGGAAGTTAGAGGCTTTCAAGAAAAAAGACTGAAATGACCTGCTTTTAATTCCCCATGCCGTCCTCTCCACTCATTGTACTGCACTGGGGGCCCTGGCCTCCTCATGTGCTCCAGGGCAATGCAGTCCTAAGCATGGTTCTGGGACCTGAGCCAGTTTACAAGTCTGAGCCACAGCATCTGGCCCAGTTATTAATTTTTTTTTTTGAGATGGAGTCTTGCTCTGCCGCCCAGGCTGGAGTGCAGTGGCACAATCTCGGCTCACTGCAACCTCCACCTCCTGGGTTCAAGCGATTCTTCCGCCTCAGCCTCCCAAGTAGCTGGGACCACAGGCATGCGCCACCACGCCTGGCTAATTTTTGTATTTTTAATAGAGACGGGGTTTCACCATGTTGGCCAGGATGGTCTCAATCTCATCACCTCGTGATCCACCCACCTCAGCCTCCCAAAGTGCTGGGATTACAGGCGTGAGCCACCGCACCCAGCCCCTTCCCACCCTTTAAAGCCCCCCATAACAAGGCAGGACAGGGAGAAGAATAAAAAAAAATCGCCTCATCATCTGGATACCCTTCAAGCCCCCTCGGGCAGCAAACTCCCACTCTTCCTCAGTGGGCAGCCGTCTTCCCCGCCAAGCACAGTAGGCACGGGCGTCATTCCAGCTCACGTGTAACACTGGGTACTCCAGCCTCTCTCGGATGCCAGAGCCAGGACCTGCAGGCTGACAGCCAGGACGAGGTGAGACAGGCTTCCGGGAGTGCATTAAGTACCAGGCAGGCTAGGTTTAGGGTGCTTGCATTCAGCTTTTACCAGTAGATGGAGCAGGGGAGCTGGAAGAGAGCCAGGTGAGTGAGGAGCATCCGGAGCCAGAAAAGAGAGACTACAGGAGACGGAAGGGGGAAACGGATGGGTAACAGCAAACAAGATTCGGCAGGGAAGCAGGACTGCCAAGCGATTTCCTGATATTCCCGTCGTCCTCTGAAAGTCAGTGTTCCTAGATGTACAAGAAGTATGGGAAGCTGGGCCTGGAGAATAAAAGAGTCAAGCAGGGGTAGGAAATGAGGCAGTGGAATCAGCCCTTACCTGCCTCCAAAATGCCTTTTCCACTGGAAGCCACCAGAGTACCGGCTGCAAAAAAGGAGACCCACTGCAAGATGCTCCGCCCAGCAAGGGCACCTTCCCCACTGAGCCACAGGACACAGAACAGACGTCAGGCTGAGACTCAAGTGCTCTAAGTCAGGTTGTGGCTGGAATTTTTTTTTTTTTGAGACAATGTCTTGCTCTGCCACTCAAGCTACAGTGCAGTGGCACCATCACAGCTCACTGCAGTCTCAACCTCCTGAGTAGCTGGGACTACAGATGTGCAAGACCACGCCCAGCTAATTTTCTTATTTTTTTTTTTTTTGTAGATATGGGGTCTCACTATGTTGCCCAAGCTGGTCTTGAATTCCTGGGCTTAAGTGATTGTCCCACCTCAGCCTCCCAAAGTGCTGAGGTGATAGGCGTGAGCCACCATGCCCAGCTGAGACTGGAATCTTTATAGAGTCCCATATTACCAACCACCCTTATTGGAGGTTGGCTTGCCAAGGTGACCTCTTTTTTTTTTTATTTTTTGACACAGATCTCTTTTTTTGTTGTTGCCCAGGCTGGAGTGCAGCCATGCTATCTCCACTCACTGCAACCTCAGCCCCTCAGGTTCAAGTGATTCTCTTGCCTTAGCCTCCCAAGTAGCTGGGATTATAGATGTGCAGCACCACACCTGGCTAATTTTTGTATTTTTAGTAGAGACAGCGTTTTGTCATCTTGCCCAGGCTAGTCTCAAACTCCTGACCTCAGGTGACGCACCCACCTCAGCCTCCCAAAGTGCTGGGATTATAGGCATGAGCCACTGTGCCTGGCCCCTCAAGGTGATCTCTTGATTCAGGAAGTATCTTGAACCCTATCCTGACTTGGACCTTTAGGCAGAGCTAACTTGGGTTCAGGGTTAACTTCCTGGGAGTGTGTACTGATCTGACGCTCCAGGGTGGGTATCTCCTGCTTCCCCTCTGCCTCCAGCTCTCAGGTCTGACTCTCCACTGTGTCCTGGGTGACCCATGTCCCACAGGATTCGCTGTCTAGGTCCCACTCCTAGACTTCAGCTCTAAGTCCAGGTTTTCTTACCTTCATTGGCTGGGTTGCTTTGTTTCTCAGCTCATCGGAGACAAACTCCTCAAAGACAAAGCTCCATCCAAACATCTCAGCCTCTGTCCGATACTTCTTCTCCCTGATAAAATCCCTGCAAAGGCACAGTTCAGCTGGTTCAGCTTGTGAGGTTCTGTGTCTGCCCTACCCTCTCCTGCTCCAGTAAACCTCAGACAACCTGGTTCTGTAGGTTACACACCACAGTGTTCACGATCGTCAAGGAATTAACCTGAAGACTGAGCGATTCTTTTAAATTAGGAAGCAACAAATTCACATACAGTAAAATTTACTCTCTTCAGTGTTTAGTTCTGTGAGGTTTATTTATTGTTTTTTACTTTATTTATTTTTTGATACGGAGTCTTGCTCTATTGCGCAGGCTGGAGTGCCGGTGGAGCAATCTCGGCTCACTGCAACCTCTACCTCCTAGGTTCAAGTGATTCTCCTGCCTCCGCCTCTCTGGAATTTCAGGCACATACCACCACATCCAGCTAATTTTTGCATTTTTTGTAGAGACAGGGTTTCACAATGTTAGCCAGGCTGGTTTCGAACTCCTAAACTCAGGTAATTCACCCACCTCAGCCTCCCAAAATGTTGGGATTACAGGTGTGAGGCACAACACCTGGCCAAATTTTTTTTTTTAGACTCAGGTTGGAGTGCAGTGGTGCGATCTGAGCTCACTGCAACCTCCACCTCCTGGGTTCAAGGGATTCTCCTGTTTCAGATTCCCCAGCAGCTGGGATTACAGGCGCACTACCACATCCAGCTAATTTTTGTAATTTTAGTAGAGATGGGGTTTCACCATGTTGGCCAGGCTGGTCTCGAACTCCTGACCTCATGATCCACCCTTCTCGACCTCCCAAAGTGCTGGGACTGTGCCTGGCCCCAAATAACTTTTTACTTATTTATTTATTTTTTTAAGACCAGGTCTCACTCTGTCACCGAAGCTGGAATGCAGTAGCTCAATCACGGCTCACTGTAGCCTCAACCTCCTGGGTTCAAGCAATTTTCATACCTCAGCCTCCCGATTTATTTTAATTATTTGTATTTTGAGACTGGGTCTCATTCTGTCACCCAGGCTGGAGTGAAGTGGTGCAATCACAGCGCACTGCAGCCTTGACTTCCTGGGCTCAAGCAATCTTCCCTCCTCGGTCTCCCAAGTAGCTGTGACTAGAGGTGCATGCCACCATGCCCAGCTAATTTTGTAGAGATGGGGGTTCATTATGCTGACCAGGCTGGTCTAAAAATCCTGAGCTCAAGTGATCTGCCCACCTCAGGCTCCCAAAGTGTTGGGATTATAGGCCTGAGCCACTGCGCCCGGCAGCTCTGTGAGTTTGACAAAGGATATAGTCACTATCATAAAACTAAGATACAGAGATGGAGGGATCCAAGATGGCTGATTAGGAGCAGCTCTGGATTACAGCTCCCAGTGAAAGCATGGAGGGTGAATGGACTCCGTATTTCCAGATGGATTTTTATTGCCCACAGACCAGGAGATTCCCGGGTGGAGGAGCGCCACGGGTTGCCAGTGTGGCTGTTTTGGCTGGCGCAGCGGGTCTCCACACGAAAAACTCACATGTGCCATTTTAGCTGGTTACTGGAGCGCCTGGGAGACAGAGTTGCCGATTCAACTGATAAAAAGGGGACTGAGGCTGGTCCAAAGCTGGTGAGTTATCTCAATTGATGGTTCACAGTCAGTTACAAATCGAACTCCTTGTTCTACTCTTCCCCCCACTTCTCACTACTACATTTGACTAGTCTTAAAAAAGAAAAAAAGGGGGACCGAAACAGGGAGCCACGCCAGGAGATTCCCAGGCGAAAAAGCACCACAAATCTCCAGCATGGCTGTTGGAGCCAGCGCAGTGGGTCTCCACACGGGAAATCACACAGATCCAGGACCCTTTTCAACAGGCAACTGGAATGCCTGGGAGACAGACTCGTCCATTCAACTGACAAAAAGGGTACTGAAACAGGGAGACAGGCCAGGAGATTCCCGGGCGGAAAAGCGCCACAAGTCTCCAGCACAGCCAGCGCAGCAGGTCTCTACACAAAATCTCACACAAATCCAGGCGCCTTTTCAACTGGCGACTGGAATGCCTGGGAGACAGTTCCGCCCGTTCAACTGAAAAAAAGGGGAATGAAACAGGAAGCCAGGCCAGAAGATTCCCAGGTGAAAAAGCGCCACAAGTCTCCAGCGGCTGTTTCAGCTGGTGCAGTGGGTCTCCGTACAAGAAATCACACAAATCTGGGCGCCATTTTAACTGGTGACTGGAATGCGAATGGCTGGGAGACAGAGTGGCCCATTCAACTAACAAAAAAAGGGGTCTGAGGCAGGGAGCCAGGTGATCAGGCTCGGCTGGTCCCACCCCCACAAAAACCAGCAATCTGAAACACTCTGGATTGAGAGTTTCAGAGCAAGCTCGGCTGAACCCAGGACAGTCCAGCTCTGTGGGGGAAGGGTGTCTGCCATTACCAAGGCAGTCCACCACCGCCGAGGTGGCCCGCCATTGCTGAGGCAGTCCGCCATTACAGAGAGCGTCGCCATTACAGAGGTGGGCTACCATTGCTGAGGGAGTTCTAACTATACCCCTATAAAAAGGACTGCGGGGAAGTTCACACAGCAGCTGGGCAGAGCCCACAGCAGATGAGCAAAGCCTCTGCAGGCAGACTGTGACTAGGCTGCCTCCTCGATGGGCAGGGGAGCCCTGAAAAAAGGCAGCAGCATTACAGAAACTTACAAATAAAGCCCTAACTCCCCAGGACAGAGCACCCGGGGGAAAACAAATGGCATTTATGAATTCTGCTGCAGCAGACTTAAATGTACTGTGCCTGCCCAGCAGCTCTAAATGAACAACAGAGCTCACAGCTCAGCATTTGAGCTCCTATAAAGGACAGACTGTCTCCTCAAGCAGCTCCCTGACCCCCATATATCCAAAGAGTCACCTTATAAAGGAGAACTCAGACTGACATCTGGAGGGTATCCTTCTGGGACAAAGATAGCAGAAGAAACTGGCAGCAACCCTTACTGTTCTGCAGCTGCTGCAGGTGAACCCCAGGCAAGCAGGGTCTGGAGTGGACCCCAGCAGTCCTACAGCAGAGGGGCCTGACTGTTAGAAGGAAAACTAAGAATCAGAAAGAAATAACTTCATCATCAACAAACTGGACGTCAACTCAGAGACCCCATCTGAAAGTCAACTACAAAGACCACAGATAAATAAATCCACAAACATGGGAAGAAACCAGCGCAAAAAGGATGAAAGCACCCAAAACCAGAACGCCTCTCCTCCTCCAAGGGATCAAGGCTGGAGGGAGAATGAGTCTGATGAATTGACAGAAACAGGCTTCAGAAGGTGGGTAATAAGAAACTTCTCTGAGCTAAAAGAACATGTTCTAACCCAATGCAAAGAAACTAAGAACCTTGAAAAATGGCCTGACAAAATGCTAACAAGAATAAACAGCTCAGAGAGGAATATAAATGAATTGATAGAGCTGAAAAACACAACAAGAGAACTTCACAAAGCACACACAAGTTTCAATAGCCGAACTGACCAAGAATAAGAAAGGATATCAGAGGTCGAAGATCAACTCAATGAAATAAAACAAGAAGGCAAGATTAGAGAAAAAAGGGTAAAAAGAAACGAACAAAGCCTCCAAGAAATATGGGACTATGTGAAAAGACCTAATCTACGTTTGATAGGTATACCTAAATGTGATGGAGAGAATGAATCCAAGCAGGAAAACACTCTTCAGAATATTATCCAGGAAAACTTGCCCAACCTATCAAGGCAGGCCAATATTCAAGTCCAGGAAATACAGAGAACGCCACAAAGATATTCCTCAAGAAGAGCAACCCCAAGGCACATAATCCTCATATTCACCAGGGTTGAAATGAAGGAGAAAATACAAAGGGCAGCCAGAGAGAAAGGTCGAGTTACCCACAAAGGGAAGCCCATCAGACTCACAGCAGATGTCTCAGCAGAAACCCTACAAGCCAGAAAAGAGTGGGGACCAATATTCAACATCCTTAAAGAACTTTCAACCCAGAATTTCATATCCAGCCAAACTAAGCTTCGTAAGTGAAGGAGAAATAAAATCCTTTATGAACTAGTAATTACTCATAGATTTCATCACCACCAGGCCTGCATTACAAGAGCTCCTGAAAGAAGCACCTAAACATAGAAAGGAACAACCAGTACCAGCCACTCCAAAAACATAACAAATGGTAAAAAGCATCAACACAATGAAGAAACTGCATCAACTAACGGGCAAAACAGCCAGCTAGCATCAAAATGGCAGGATCAAATTCACACATAACAATATTAACCCTAAATGTAAATGGGCTAAATGCCCCGAATCAATAGACACAGACTGGCAAACTGGATAAAAAGCCAAAACCCATCAGTGTGCTGTATCCAGGAAACCCATCTCACATGCAGGGATACACACAGGCTCAAAATAAAGAGATGGAGGAAGATTTACCAAGCAAATGGAGAGCAAAAAAAGAAAGCAGGAGTTGCAAGACTCGTCTCTGATAAAATAGACTTTAAACCAACAAAGATCAAACGAGACCAAGAAGGACATCACATAATGGTAAAAAGATCAATGCAACAAGAAGAGCTAAAGATCCTAAATATATACACACCCAATACAGGAGCACCCAGATACATAAAGCAAGTTCTTAATGACTCACAAAGAGACTTAGACTCTCACACAATAATAGTGGGAGACTTTAACACTCCACTGTCAATGTTAGACAGATCAACCAGACAGAAAATTAACAAGGATATCCAGGACTTGAACTCAGACCTGGACCAAGCAAGCCTAATAGGCATTTACAGAATTCTCCACCCCAAATCCACAGAATATACATTTTTCTCAGCACATCACACCTACTCTAAAAATGACCACATAATCGCAAGTAAATCACTCCTTAGCAAATGCAAAAGAATGGAAATCATAACAAACAGTCTCTCAGACCACAGTGCAATCAAGTTAACACTCAGAATTTGGAAACTAATTCAGAACCACACAGCTTCATGGAAACTGAACAACTGGCTCTTGAATGCTGACTGGATAAACAATGAAATGAAGGCAGAA